GATATGCAGGGTGACATGCTAATAGTGCCCCAGTCCTGCTGCATCCTTACTGTAAGCTGGGGTAACCTGGAACATAACAACGCTACAGTTTAAGCAGTTTATTTATACAATATGATGGCTTCACACCAGCAGAGTAAACTTCCATCAGCTTTCCTTCCCTTCCCTCGGCTCACACTGGGAGTCCAGGGCAAGCACCCCGAACCTTTTTGACTGATGCACTGTGAAATCAGCCCTTCCTGCTCCAGACACCCAACACTGAAACAGCTACCTTGCCCACTGCTGCTTCTCAAGGTCTCTAGACACTGGGACCTGTAAGAATAAGTATCCAGGAGATAGCAGCTGTGACCCATTTATTATCAGATGCTGCTGCAGGACACAGCTGAGAAAGGCAGGGCAAAGGAAAAGCACTTCCTGCAAAGGGAACAAGCGGAGCAAACCCAGGTGTCCTTGGAAGAAGCATTTTGCTTGCAGCACTGCTCCGTCTCCATTTCTTCAACTCCCAGATGGCAAGAGACAGCTTAGATCAAGCATGGATGTTCAAGTACCACTATGAGGGCTCCCCTCATATCACTGCTGGGAGGTAAAAAATAAACCAAAAAACCCACAAAGAAAGCCCACAGAGGCCAGAAGGCAACCATGGACAGAGGCCACAAGTTTCACACACGGAACAAGCCAATAAAACTGCCCTAGTACAGGCAAATGTATCTGGAAAGATCTATTTTGACAATGAAAGAGTGACAGATACCTTTACCCAGAGCAGAGGGTGCACACACACACGCAGCACAGTCAGGAAGGAGAGATGCTGAGGAGGGAAGCAGAGCACGTATGCTAGCGGCACAAAGCACGGTGCTCCAGCCTACAGCCGAAGAGGGCTGGGAAGGCAGCACCGCACCGAGGCAGACAGGATCTACATCAACATTTATCAGTTCAGCCTTCGCATTTGTCGATTAAGTTCCACTGGCACTGAGCAATTGTACATGTCCTCAGACTACCTCCTTACCCCCCTGCACAGCCTCCCGCAGCTGCGGCCCAGCCCCGCGCCGGTCGCTGGGTATTCTGATCAGAGCGTCAGGCTGGGGTGACATTGTCCCCTCCTGAAGAGGGACGGTAAGTGCCTGCAAGCCCACTCATTTTATTCACCGCACAAGCACGTTTCCAACTGGGATAATCTCCATTAAACCATCTGCGCTCCCATCTTCGCTCGAGCTGCACCCGCTGGGCTGCCTGCGATACTGCAGCATCTGTGAACCGGCAAAAGCGGATGCTGCGTCCCTTTCCCAATCAGCTAAAAAACCAACAGAGACTCAGACAGAACAGATGCACCTGGTAGCTTTGACGTGCTACTGAGCCAGGCTACCAGGAGTACCTATGCCAGTGCCTCCTCTGAAAGGCATACGGCTCCCCCTGAGAATTTAAGCCATTTCCTTTCCATCGTGGGAAGACACCATACCCCAAATTGCCAGAAGAGGAGGGCTGAGAAGAGTGTAGAGGTTTTAGCTACAACGACCGCCCTGGTGCAGAAGAGAAGAGCCGTTTGCCAGGTCATGAATGCATTTTGGATCAGACACTCTGAATGGCTCCTGATCCCCAGGATTTAATCTCTTATTTATCTCAGTATCTGCTTTCTAGAAACAGGGACTATCATGTCACATACCCACACCACTGGAACAGAAAGACATGGAAGTGTTACGATGAGAGATCTGAAACTTAAATCCACTGCCCCTTCCCTGCAGCCTACACAGAAGATGTCCAGCTGACCTTATAGAAAACACGATAGAGCGACTGCACTGAAGTGTGAATTCAGTATGAAGAGAACTCAAGCCTGTCCTTAGCACTGCCATCGAGACAGCCAAGGGACTCAAGAGTCACTTCGGCTGTCGAGGACATGACAGCGTGGTGACGGATCTGAAGCAAAGATAGAAAGCCATCGATCTGCTTTAACTGTAATCAGCACTTGCCTTCAACAAGGTCACTGGGCCATCTAACACATACCTTTCTTCCAGCCCATTCGCCCTGTGTGGTCTTGCCCTCACAGGCATGGAACAACATGGCAAGGCTCACCTTTTAAACCTCCCAGGACTCCTACAGTCCCAAATATTAGCAGCAAGTGATGGGACAGGAACAAAAGACTATTTCAGTATTTTCCTGCACTTGCCTTCACTCATTTATTTTGCAAGCCTTTATTTTCCAAGGCAATTTACAAACAAGAAGCAAGATAACCATTTGTTCAGACAGAGGTTAATAAGGGCCTAGTGGTCTCTGAAGACTCTGCAGTCACACTTAGGTGTGAAATTCTGGAGCAGCAATAAAGATGCTGCACAGGCAAGCAAGTCTCATGAGGAGGATTTAATCTGTCTAAATATTCTCATTATGTACATAGTTTTCAGCTTCCATTCACAGTGATCAGAGCAGAGACAGCTTCCAGAGGTCTTTCTGGACAATAAACCGTGAAATAGGATTTTTTACATCCGTCATTATTCCCCTCTCCACCCCCAGCTCAAAGAGTCAACGTTTGAAATGTTTTTTGTTGAAAAGAAGACATAGCGTTGGGAGAGAAAGAGTCGACAGGAGGAAGGAAGCACAGATCTTTGGCAGACTGGTGGTACTTGGCATGAGAGAGCTCCCATTGGCACCATTTTCCCAGAAAACCTCAAATAGATTATTTCTCCTGGTAGTCCAAAAAATAACTTTCTGTGAGGTCATATACAGACCAGGTAATACAGCACTACATCCAGAAACCTGCCTCACTGGAATGGGCAAGAGGTTCTAGTTATATCCACCCATCTCAGTCCTAAAAGTCACTTAAAGCTAAATACAGTACTAAGACGAGGTGAGAAAACTAGAGGCAGACATCTAGGACAAAAGGGCTGATCCAAACACTCAGCTGCTTTCTTTTGGGATTGCAGTGTCCATCTGTCCCCTTGCCACAGGGGAACTTAGCCTGCAAAAAGAGACCTTGTTTGGCCACTGAAACGTGGAACTTGAAATATTCCAAAAAGCAGGAATTAAAAAAAAAAAAAAAAAAAATAAAAAAAGTAAAAAACAAAGGAAGTTCTCTATGGGTATGATCCCCTGGGACTGAGAAAACAGCTCTGCTCTTGATGCATCTCACCCCTCCTCACTTTCATGTTGCCTTTTCCCCTTCAGAAATGCAGGTTTTAGCTTTTCTTGCACGTTCAGGACTCCACTTCTATACACAAGAAGCTTGGTAAAAATTTAGATATAGTTACAGTGTTTTGCTACTAATTTTTTTGCTTGCAGTCAAGTGACTTCCTACCCTGGCCCTCCCATAACCAGGTTTCTCAGAAAATTTAAGAGCTATAACTACTCATCACTAGCTGTTGGGAAAAAAAATGTAAGCCAGCAGAGTCTCTTCAGAGGCAGCCCAAACTTGAAGACTGTGTCAGTGCTGGGGGTCTGAGTGTTTTATAAATCATTATATCTCTTACTGCTCTCTAGGTAAGCCGTCATCATTTTTGTTTTCTGGAGAAGCAAAACACACAGCTCAAGCAGGGAGCGGGACCCACAGAGCTGCAGGTAGAACAAGTCCCAGTTTAGTCCCATACTCATCCAGGAAGAAGCATCAGAGTCCTTAACAAAGCCCCACAACTCAGAGGTCATGCCAGCATCCTGAACACAGTGATTGTGGGACACTCCACCTCTCAGCAACCCACCACAGACTGGTACAAACAATCCTTCCCTAATTCTAAGGGGGAGCAGAGAAAAGCACTGAAACCCTCACCTCAATTACTGGGCTGGGAAGGATTAACCACTAGTAAAGACTTTGCAGATATTTATTCTTCAAATCCACAAGAGAAGACAAGCAGAGGGAAAAGCTCCTCTGAGAGTTATGTACACAGACAGCAAATCTAATGCTTACACAGTCTTAATTTTTTTAATTTTTCAAGTCCTAACAACAATTATCTTCATGAATTATAGACACAATATTCGAGAGATGCAGGCAGTAATTAATGCATGTCTGCCTTTTCTGACTAGCTCCTTCTGCTGGGTCAGGGAGAGTTACTGGAATTCAGGAAATAAATCTTCAATCTTCTGGAAGTTTTAAAGAAACAGACCAAGACACAATTTAATAAAGCAATAATATTTCTCTTAAATAATTAACTAGGCTTTGACATGCACTAATATTTTTGAGTCCCAGCTCTTACTTTTGCAATAACGCTGGAACAAGCACACTTATGGATGTGATCCATTGCAGGTCCAAATTTTACTAAACTGCAAAATTGCTCCAAGTAGTCTTTAGCCCTGGATTTCTCTGCACTCACATGGCCACCTACACTCTTTTTCCATAAATTCTCACTGAGACCCTTAACAGAAGCCACACTATGCAGCACTTCCATACCTCCCCCTCTGCCCTACTGACACCTGTCTCCAGACACGAGCGCTCAACTCTTCCCCAGCTCAAGAGAAACAGTGTTCTGTCATCCTTTGGGAAAAACCTTGGTTTCACAGCAGAACCACAGCACAGTAATAGAGGCAATAGACAATCCTAAACTAGACAGAAAGCTATTACTAAAGCAGCATATAGCACTGGATGTTGTTTAAGTGGGCTGTTTCCATCATCTCTCAAAAAGCAGATTCTGCTGCAGCATAAACAATTTTATTCACATAAAGAATGCACTCAAGAGAGTTTAATATACTCGAATATGGTGACAACAATTACTTCAAAGCAACAATTACTTAGCCAGACACTGAAAAAACCCCACCCTTTGGCACAGACATATCACCTGCTTAAGCAATATAAAACTACACAAGGACAGAACTCAAACTCAAAATCACAAGGATTATACTGACGGCCAAACTGAAACACAGTCTTGACACTGAGAATAGCAAGGGAGTATTTGGTCAAAAAGGAACTGAAAGCTTCATGCCTCTGTTGTTCACTTGAACCACATCACCTCTACAGGAAAAAAAAAAAGTCCCTACCCAGTAGAAGTAAACTTTAAATGGAAATAATGGTCATCCCAGTTTCAGCAGCTCACCAGATACAGTCTGTAAGCATCAATCCGTCGAATTGGTCCCCAGCACTTGTCTGTATCGTTATACTTTGTGCCATCTCCAACACTGCAGGAATGGTTGCCAGTGGCACTGCTGGGAAAGGAGAGAGAAACAAGAGACAGTAATTAACTCCTAGCATGTGTCTTCCCCTCTCCTGCATTCAGGAAAGAGGAATGGTCACAGACACAAAGTGTTCATTCCTCCCTTCCCTCCCTGAACACTTCCCCCTCCCATTAGATTTTCTGGACTGTGTAACAGAGCAAGTCACTGAGTACCACACATTTAAAGGCAAATTCTTGAATTACCTACAGTTATTTATAAGTTTGGTCATTTGGTCATCAAGCTAGCAAGTCTGGGTCATATATAGATCACTGAGGTTTTCCATTTCCAAGTCAATAGTCCAAATCCAGCCCAGATTTGATCAAACAAATCTCTTTTGTTATCTGTTTCTTTGAGAAAGAGGCTGCTCTCAGTCACTATAATGTCACCACTCACTGGTCACAGACTTGGTAAGCATCACACCTCTCAGCTCTTACCCAAAGAAACAGAGAAGGTAAAATATTGCACAGGGTATGGCAATCAAACTATTGAACAACAAGTCCCATGGCTGCAAGGTGCTGAACCTGAAGTTTCATCCGAAATCAGGTCAGCTACTTTTCAGGCAGGCAGCAGGCACTCGGGTGGGGAATATAAAACTTCACCTTCCCACCCACAAACGATGAGCTGTCCTTGAGTCATTACTCTGGTCTTCAGAAAGCAGAGCTGATCCCAGTCAGACTTATCACCCTATCAAATCCAAAAGCCTGCTCTCTCCTCTGTTAGCACACAACCCCACAGCTGTAAGCACACTTACCAGGTCACTTGCATGAGGGAGACTGGTACAGCTGCTGCGTAGATTGCCAGGTCCCCATAGAGGTAGATAATTATGCAGAAATAGAAGAGGTTGACACCCACTGTAGGAAAAGGAAATATTGTACAGAGACAGCAGAGTACACAGGGACTTGAACTCTGCACTTCAAATACACAAAACTTTTTCAAGATCTTAAAAATAAATCATAATTTGCCTCCAGCTTACTTCTTTCTGCAGTGAATTCCACCCAAGAGTCAGATCAGCAACTTAGGGGACTTAGCCCCAGTGCAGGGACTGACAGGACATGAGGCATTTCAGAGCTCAGCTCTGCCTCTTTCGATACCTGGCCCCGACACCAGCCTCTCTCGTTCAAGCCCATCCTCCAGTCACTGGTCAAGACCAACAGGTCTCACGTAAGCCACCTGCCAGGTGAAGCTGTCAACTTGCCACAGGCCAACATCTAGCTGATGCTCACAGACTTGGTGTGAATGAACAGTGAAAAGAACAGAGGATGCTTCTAGTCCTCTGCTGATTCCAAACCCTCTGCTTGCAAACCTGCAGGACCTTCACATTAGGGATTCGACCCTGCAGAGCTCAGGTTCCACAGGGCTGAAATGGAGCTGCTTTGGGAGATTCCTTACCTCCAGCAACTTGAGCCAAGGTTCAAACCTGCAAAGCTTTAAAACCCTGTTTCTGCAGCCCTCTTACTCTGCTGCCACAGCGTGCACTGTTCCTGCCCCATACTGTTTTCTTGGGGATTTTTTTCCTTTAAGCCTGCCCTGGCTTCACCTATGAGATTTTTAAAAAACTCTTACACAAGTTAACTGGGGGCACAGAACAGCCCTACTACGACACAAGACACTGCTGTGGAGGACTAAAATGAGCAAAGATAAAGAAATGATTGATGACACCCTGGGATTCTCTTCTTCCAAGCCAGCCAGTATAAATCTCACCAAGGAAAATGATACTGTAACATATTTCAGTTCAGAGACAGGTGAGCTACAAAAAAAACCCCAAAAGCCTCAGATTTGTTTCATTTAGGAAGTTGACACTGAAAGAAAACATCTCAGGGAACCTGTGCATACTTTCAAGTTGCAGTGCCACCTGATGCTTAATCCTAATGCTGCTTGAACAAATCAATTCACCTCTCCAAGCCTCACATGTGGTAACTATCAAACAAGGACAGCGTTACTGCAGGAATGCGGACTCATATTTCTACTGCGCTTGGATGCCCGAAAGCTTTACCATGTTTTATCATCATACTGCCTCTGGATCTCTGGATGTCAGGAAACATTAGGAGGCATTCTCCTTTGTTTAAGTAAATTATTCAATATGCTGAGCCTACTTAGCATACAACATTCCTAAAAAAAGGGTTGCATGAGGAAAGTACAAAGAAAACTTCCCAGCTTCTGTAGAGCAGCTCACTAAGCCAGTACTCTAGAGTTGCTCTTGGTTTGTCTAAACTGAGATCTTACATAAATCATCAGATTATTTCATAGTTCCCCCCTTGTTTTCCTCCTCTGTGAGAGATTTTAAATGGTTTCACAGTTAAGAAGTTTCTGTACTGTTCTGAAGAGAGCAACAAACTACCTACCATTTTTTTCCAATTTCCCATTGAAAAGAGTTGATTATAAACAAATATCTGACACAAGACAGAAGCTGCATGACACACTAAGTACAGGACTACAGAGACTCAGATACAGATTTTGTTTTGGGATCTGCTACTGATCTCAGGCCTCAGCTGCTTTCTCCCCCTCACCCCAATAAGGCTGATATGACCAGCTAGGCCACAGCAGCACCCAGGTACCCACCAGCACACACTATATCCCTGCTCCAGTGCAGACCTCTCTGTCTGTGGGAAGTCCAGGTGACACTCCTCTCCCAAACTCATCCTCTGGAAGGCAGGAAGACTTTAACATCAGTTCTTTTATAAACTGCTGCTGACCCTCCCTGATCAATACTTTCATTACTGGACACAAAACAGGGAAAAAAAAAATAAATCAATGACTTCCTGCAGGGAAACAGCATGATAGATGTGCCCAGAATCCATTATTGCAATAAATGACTCTTCAGTCCCAGAAGAAAGCACCCAACATCACAAATTAGAAAAAATAAACAGAAAAGCAGTGCTTCAAAGCCAGCTCTTTTGAAGAAGCACACAGGCTCTCTTCCTTTAAAAAAGTCGACGGTCTGAAATTGAGATTTATCCCCAGCTTACCTCCCAGAACTGCAGATTCAACTCCTGTCAGATTATTGAAAATAAAAATCAGTCAAGAGAAAGAAGCAGAGAACTCACTAGAAATCAGAGACTTTGAGGTCTATTGCAAAGTTTTCACCAGTATTCCCTCTGAAGGCTGTAAAGCCCTCAGACACCTTGGGTTTGGATCCATGCTTTGTATATCATGAGCAAAAACCCACTAGGTATTTGCTTGCTGTGAAACCGCAGGGGGCTGGTGCTCAGAGCTGGGACTTCCCAAGCGTGGCCCAGTTCCTCAGCACTAGGCAGTAGCAACTGGTCACTGAGCAACTGCCCTTACTGAAGGCCTTTCTGTGCAACTGCTGGAAGGAAGCACCTCAGCAAGGATCTGCAGACAGAGGTACTTGTCTCTGCAACAGCTTCACAGACCAGAGGGTATCTCTGAACTAGGACTCAGCAACAGTATAGGGATGGAGCCTCAATGCTGAGCAGAGAGGAGGGGAAGGCAGCGCATGAGTTACAGCTGCCCCAGACCCTTCGCAGTGTGTGCCTCATCCTGCCTGGAAGTCACAAGCTGTTCCAGCTGCCTTACTGCAGAGGGATTCACCCCTTTGCATCAGGCTGAATAGGTCCTGGGAAGGATCCCTAACACAGAAATCAGATAACTGTCTAAAGCAACATTAAGAAGGGGGATTAAGATTTAGAGTACTAAGCAGTTTATGTCACTTTACTAGGAAGTGTACATCAGTGCCTGACAGGAGAGGGGACGTGTATTTCCAGCACCCTCTCCTGGCTGAGCAGCAGCCAGCACTCAGGGTAGAGAGATCTAGAGGCAACTGTCCAACGGCTGGCTGGCTTTGGGGGGTCCTTACCATCTGCCCCTCTGAAGCACACGCAAAGCAGGGGCCTTCCGGAACTTGCTTACGGGAGCACTCAGCCTCTTGTGATTCCCCCAGCCCTCTACAGCAGAATCCTCAGCAATACTGCTACACCCTGCTGTATGGCACTTGCTCTCAAAGCACTTCCTAAATACTACTCCACAGAGGATGATCAAGACGCAGAGAAGCGTTCACAGTATTTTACAGATGGCAAAGCATACAAGCAAGAAAACTTGCCTAAGGTCAGAGCAACCCAATGCTACAGGCAAGACTAGGAACAAGAGTCTCCAACTCACAGTCAAATCACCTCTCCTCTTCTTCGACTGGAAAAGCAGCAGCCTGACCCAACATGGATTATTTTGATAGTCCTAAATGATTCAAATCTACAAAGGCCCAGAAGAGGCAGGCAGAGAAATTAAAAATTTTTCAATTGGACTTTAAAATCAGGAATAATATAGTTCAAAGAATCTTCAGTCCTTAAGCCCAGCTGTCCTTCAGAGGCAACAGCCTTACACTGGCACAAAGCTGATGTAATGTAGTGGAAAAAACCAGCCCATCGTGTCTTTGTAAGGTGGCCAGTGAACAAGAGAAAATGTCACTTTCCACAAGAAATGGGGCCTGACAGGCTCAAAACTGCACAGCCATGGTGTCTAATGATTTTCTGGCTCTGCCCAGCATTCCAAATCTACTGGTTTACAAGTTTCAGAATACCTAACATTGTAGTTTGCAGTTCTATCGCATGCAGCAATGCATATGGCTTTATTGCAGTGTGGTTACAAGTTTGTTCCCTGGCATACAAGAGACATTTAAAAGCAAAAAGACATGACAGTCGCTTATCATCTGCACACCAGGGAACCTTTCAGCATTTCATGTCCCAGCAGCTCTTTTGGCAACCCCCTAGACACACAAAATTCTCAGAAGCTTTCCCCAGAAATCTTTCCCCCTCAGACTGATACTTATGGGGTTCAGGGAAGCCCCAAAAACTTATTCTCAAATGCTACAACCAAGATGGAACTAGCAAACACTACAGCTGGGCTCTGCTGCTCTAGACAGTGGATATCACAGAGGATGGATTTCAGAGTTAAGTTAAGGGCAGTCAGAAAAGACATGGACTTACACTTACTCGTGGCAAGAAATAGGGCCCAAAACCTGCAGTATTTTGGCTAGTTCTGCTACCACCACAGTATCATCCCCTTCATGCAGGTTCTGGCCCATAACACTCTACTTTGTAGAAATACCTCACAGGGGGATGAATACAGTCCACAGAGGGAAGGAATGACACTTCTGGGTGGAATCACCACAAACTCGGGATGCAAACCCACACTGAGAAGCACGCAAGCTTAAGGAAAAGCCATATACACAACATGCAGGAGGACCTGAAGAGACTACTGAAAATGTAAATCACCTACCTTTATTGAAGAACATGGAAGCCATCTGACCCATTTCTACTCTCTCGGTGATTTCAAAGATATTGGGTGAACCACGTCTCTCTGCAAGTTGAAAACAAGAAGTGTTTCAACCAGTCCCTTCAATAAAGTCAGAGACCAGACTATCTGAAGACACTCGGAAGCTCTAGCAACAGTTTGAAGGACAGTATATATAACTCCACAGCTGCAGAGTCACTGGTCCAATTACTTTACTGAAGTTAGTTTAACAGTATTTTCAAAGTAAGATGTTCTCATCTTAGTGACCTAGAAGGAAAAGATCTTTATCAGACTGCAGATGGTGAACTGAATTCTCAATGAGTCTTATCTTGCAAGTGCTAAGGACTTTGGGATGTGAGCACGTGGAATTAAGGGTGAAATGGACAGAAGACTCCTGCTCCACTTACTGGAGCCCACTGAGACACCGCCTGCAGAGAAGAGGTGTCGGATCCAGTGAAAGCATGAACTGGTACTTACGAACTGACAGGATAGGTCGTGTCTCTGCTCGCTCGTAGCCATCTTGGAGGAGAACATCACTGTCTGATACTCCAGAGGAAGAATCCTCATCCTCATCATCCTCCTGAAAGAAAAGACCAGACCGCTGCTGAGACGTTTGCGATCCACAGTACAGGCTGTGGCACCACCAGTGTCACGGTCTCACTTCCAGAATCTCAAAAGAAGGTCCCAAAAAAGGATGGGCAGGACATGCAAGCAAAGGCAATACCAGGGAGCCCTTGGCCTGAACTTAGGATGCTGTGAAGAACAGAAGAGGGCACTAGCGGAGCAGGCTGAAGTGACAGGCTCTGCTGTCCTAGCCTAGGTCATGCACACACCAACAGTGTCCAATTCACGCAGTTAGAAGTGAGAAACTTCCAGCAGATCTGCAGGGTTGCAAAACTGGTAGGAAAAAAAATCCAAACATATATAGTCTTAGCTAGTCAGAGCAAGCAGGTCTAGGTCCTAACTCCACCCACTAACATCCAGGCAGGGAATCTAAATCAGCGCAGAGAATTATGCGTTGCACTGATACAGAAAAGCCACAAGTAAGTTTTACAGAGAAGACATACTTCAGGACTGTCCACTCCCTGGGATACAGCCCGAGTGACAGCAAGGACATTCCAGCCTGTCCCAGTTAAATGACCTGAGATGAGCAAGGATTTATAGACCTCAGCACACTCCAAATGGCACCAATATATTGGCTGCCACCTCTCCACATTCACTGAGCAGTGCTTCTGGGCAAGGAGAGCACAATCAGTAAGAAATGTGAACAGCACAAGAGATTTTTCAAAGCAGGAGCAGAAAATCCTGTCTTTAATGAGCAACCCCACAGGGAACTAACAGCCATATTTTATATGGCAAAGTTAAGTACAGTAGAAATTTATTCCTTTAGAGTTACCAATGAGGCAAGGCAAAGACGCAGAGGAATCTCAGGCAAGTCCTACATAATAAAAGAACAAGAGAAAATGGAAAATAAAACCCAACACGAACCTTGCGTTTTTCCATTCTCTTCCATCGCAGCTGGGCATTTGCAGCAGCCATGGCTTCCACCACAAAGGTCGTAGTCATATAGCTAGAGAGAAATTCAACTGATATCAATAACAGCCAAGAACTGTCACTGAAGGGAGATGGAGAATTATTCCCATCTGTTTGTAGGAGCAAATAAACCAAAACGACCCTCTCACCAGCTCCCCACACACTGCGTTTTTGGTACAGTGTTTCATCTCAGTTTGCTGCTCTCTTCTGTTCTTGAGATGACAGTGTCTGAGCAGACCACAAAATGCAGTAGCATAAACATGCCTTCAGATATGACATTTTAGATATCTGGAAGGCAATTTCCTAATGTTTCTGTGGCCTGCAGAAGGCAAGAGGACTTCGCCTTGTTAGAAAGCAAGCTTCCTTCCTCTTTTTAGGGCCTAGGATAAACAGTACTATTCTGAAGCTTATCTATAAGGGCCTGGGGCAAAGGTACTACAGTCCCTTAAAGAATCTTACAAATAGCATCAGAAGCAAAGCAGCAATACAAGACGAAGAAGCAGATCACATGTGCATGCAAATACATTTTGCTGGAGGCCAGGGTGAAAGATGTCCAGGGAGACAGCAAGAGCCGCTAATGGTAGGAATATCATTATCTCAGCTAAAACAGTCCTCAAAAAAAAAAACCCCAAACTCAAATCAATCTTATTTAAGGCTTTAAAGTGGTTTCTCACTGCTTCAGGAACTGAACTCACTTATCAGGCTCAAATGAGAGATTAGTTTTGCAAGAATAAAAGCAAGCAGCCCTGTGCTGAAGCCCATGTGGCAATTTCTGCCCAGACTCTTCTTGCACCGAAAGGTCTCCAGTGGGGCAGGGGACTTTCTGCAAGCAACAGGTCGATGCAGCTCCCAAAGCACATAGTACTTTGAGCTGCATCTTCTCAGTTTAATCCACTGCAGTTTTGGTATGCAGGTTTGGAAGTTTGTGCTCTTTGGCTGTCCTTGAAGGATTGTCTACTGGTACTGAGTTTCAAACATTGAATTTACGCTTTTAAACTAATGTATCTAAAAGGAATTTCTTCCAAATCTCCCAGATACTGGTACTCCCACAGTTTACATTTTATCAAGCCTTTGCAGCATACAGCTTTGAGATGGGGAAGTTACAAGCATTACAACAGTCAGTACTGACCATACAGTACCTCTGTAAAGCAGCACCTAACAGCTCCCAAAAGCACTGCCTCCAAATCAAAGGCACATTCAGGCTGACAGAGCTGGTTACTGACAAGAAAGGAACTTATAAATTCTATTCTTACAAACGGCAGGAGGGGATTTTGTTTTATTTTAAAACCAAGCAAGAAGCAAGCAGGAACTCACAGCCTGTCAGAAGATGGCAATTCTATTAATAACTACCTAGACATCAGTGCTGTATCAACAGCCTTCAGCTCCACCTGCTGCTCCAGCAGGGAGACATCTGGGCAGAAGCTCATGGTGAGCCAGCGTGAAAATCATGAGACCAGCTCCAAGGTCTCGAGCAGCAAAGGTCAGGGAGGAGGGTGGGAATAAGACAGGCCTGGCTTTACAGTAATTTGTTTTCCTGACAGTCTTGCAGCTGTCCAGAGCATTGCCAGAAGCCAATAGAAAGGTAAACACAACAGGCCTGCATATCTGCAAGTCACAAAGCAGAGAAATGACCCTGTGTCGCCTGTGACCTGGTTAGTGTTTGGGGAACTGATCTGTGACAGAGGCAAGACTGGGATGTATCCACAGCAAGGACAGTATCAAAAAAAGAAGCTAGGAGAAAGGTCCTATAAGACCCTGGACTAGTGAAAAAGTCTTTCCCACAGATCAGGAAACAGGATGTAGCACCATATTGCAGGGAGTCAGAAAACACAGCCCTCCAAATAAAATCCACAGACAACACAACTGCAGAGACCAAGGCTCAAGCAGCAGTGAAAGTCTTAGCACTGTCCTTACAGCCCCACCCAGCTGAACCTCCCAGTGCCCTCACATCCTACCTCATAAATCCCAGGAACATTAGGAGAACGAGGCTGACGAGCCACCCTGCTGCCGCAAAGGCCTTCGGCATGGTTAGGGCGCCTGTTCCAACGATGAGGTTGAACATGTAAACCAGACCAACCTGCAATCATCCACATAACCCAAAATAAGAGTTTGCGGCAGTCCCAGAGATCACCCAAGACATATATGTACCAATTTAAATGGAGAGAGCTGAATATCTTTGAGCAAAAAGGATGGGAGCAAGCCCACACTAGAAATAAATATAGGAGGGAACTGCTAACCAAGAGAACAAAGTTGAGTTTCAGCACATTTCTGGTGAAACTGATATTCCACTCCATTTTTCTATTTTTTTTTTCTTTCTAACTTTTAAAGTTAGAAAGCATGTGAGCTTTTGGTTTGTTTTCAAATCCACTGTCTTCTACCAGAGGGGTCAACACTGTGGGTTGGGATCTCCTCTTGTTTTCTAAACTGAACTGAAGTAGTTATGACTACATACATGCTACCTTTCAAAATCTCTTGTTCTTTATTCTTAGTCAAGCAGGAAATATCCAAACAGAATTCTAATTCAAAGCCTACTTGATGTTTTACCAGTAAGCAGCTGAACACATTCTGAAGAAGGGATTTTACTTCTGGAAAGGATTTTATCCTCTCAGGCAATGAGCCTTTTTCTGACCAGGGCCAAAAGGTAACTCTGCAGCTGGACAGGACCCCCCCCATACTATAAATTCAGCTGACCTCAAGATCAAAAATCCAAAGTTGTTTTGATTTTTTTCATATAGGTCAGAGTCTCTCCAGAGGAGAACCAGTAAAGAAATGTATCTAAGTACACTTTTCTGGGTGTGGAGCAATTAATACCAGAACTATTCCCCAGAGACCCTGTGAGTGCTCTTGCCCTTCATTCACTGACACAAGCACAGCAAATTCATCTTTTGACAAGTCTCCTAGAACAATGAAAAAAAAGTCAGCCATTGCAGCTTGCAGAAAATTCTTTTCATTCAGCTGGCAGAATTGTCATTTGCCAAGCACAACTCAAGTGCCCCAGGTCATGACTTACTCTTCAGTGAAGGACTCTTGAAAAAAAATACCTCAAGTGACTTTCCTTGACTTTGCTCAAGTAGACAGAGATGAAAATGGTGCCCATGTGTTCAGCCTGGCTAGACATCTTCAGGGAAAGAGGAGAGAGTCATAACCTTTGAGATTAGACTAGGAAATTCATGTGACACTAATATAACAACATAAGAGCAGGTGACAGTAATCCTCTAGGGTCCAGACGTCCCAGTTACTGTCTTGCTCTCCATTTTCTCAGTTGTGACCTATTTCTGCAGCCTAATATCCGGTTCGTCTAAACTCAAATGTTAACACAGGGATGAAAGTTTGAAAGCGTTTAAAAGCCAACACAAAGATTTCAGGACTAGTTCTATATTTAGTGAGTTCACTTCAGAAAAAAAAAAAAAAAGTGTTTTCAAAGTGCTGTTTTTAAGAGCTGACACTATATGAACACTTGTGGCTATGAAAACCAGTATTTCCAGTAACATAGGAAAGCAGTAATTGGCTCTGCAGTTTCAGAGGATACATTACAAGGAAGAAATGTCTTGATTACTGGTTTTAAGTGCAGTGGTTTGAAACAAATTACTACAACAGCTACAAATAAGTAAACTTTATATAAGGTTTTCTCCTGGATTTTATAAGGTTTAAAAAAAAAGCAGCAATGTGGGATAGTTTCAATCTCACAATCCCCCCTGCTGATGCTAGCTTCACATGGCAATTTGGGTTGATGAAAACATTAAGAAAATATAAGTGGGTAGAAAGATGCAAGAGCAGGTATGGGACAGGCAGCTCTTTTGAACACATTTAAAATTATACCTTAAGCAGACATCATCCCTTCATATAATATAAAGTGATCTGTGATATAAAAACCCCCCAAATAACTACAAGTACCAAGGATTTAAGTACCCTTTGACTTCCATCATCTCTTGAAACACTGATGTTATGTCCATGGAGAAGTAGGAAGTGAAAACACAATGTTGAAAGAGTAGGATTTTGAAAAGACTCATGAGCAAAACCACAAAGAGCAGTTACTTACATAGGGAGAGTAAAGCTCTCCTGTGTCAGTAATGCCACCAGCCATGTTGAAGACAGTGGGAAAGCTCACAGCAAAGTGAGAAGGATGTTTTTAGGAGAGGGTTTTCAACTTCTATTGCCTTTAACCTAGGGAAACATCATAAAGTTGTGTTAACTTTGTCAGAAAGAGGAGGAACTCACAAGTCAGCTTTTGCACATCAGCCTTATGATATTTGAACAAAAGAGGATTTCAGCAGGACCTTGCACTTTGGACAGATATACCCCACTCGCCAGCACCACTCAATTCAATACCCTACGAAAAGTTCTTGTACCTGTTAAACCAGTTTAAAAGTAACCAGAAGGCCCTGCCTGACCAAACTGGATGACCAAACTTTACCTTCCCCAAACAGCCAGAAGGGTTGTTTCAGACGCCAAAAACCTCAAGAGGAAGAATGCCTGCCTTGAGGATGATCTCATTCCGCTTCTTCTCACTCAGCTACTACTTTTACAAAGCACGTGCCTCCTACAAATCAAAGCAGTAAAAACAGCTTCCAGCCTCTCCTCATAATCTTAAGTACAAAAGTAAGTTGACAAATTAAAATACTGGACCTGTGAAAACACCCCAAGATGTTTTGTTACACATATCAAGGTTTCCAAAGCAGAAGTACTGGGGGAACTTCACATGGTCTTAGAAAAACTACAGGGGGAGAGGGAGAATCCAAGCCTTCTGAAAAGTTTTGGAGTCGATAAATAGAGTTGAATTATTTAAGAGCTTTATCAAGTTTTTCATAGTTCTATAAATGCTCTTATTTAGCCATACCAACACGGACAAATCATCAGCACAAACTTCACAAGCTAAGAGTGCTACTTAAAACAAGAACCAGTTCATAAGCTTACACACAGACACACACACTCTGCATGACAGCAATCAATCACGCAGCACAGCTCACTGTGGTCATAACTAGACTGGCCCTCAGAAGAGTCCAAACGTCTGTTATAACAGATCTCGACTCAGGTCACCGGAGCCAACCTCAACAAACCAAGAGAAAGCAGCAAGACCCCGGCCAGGCCAACAGCCCCCTCGGGGACACGGCCGAGGAATCCGTGCTGGCACGGGGCACCCACCCCAGCCGGGCAGGGCCGCATCCCAGGGCCCGGAGCCGGTCAAGGCTTCTCGAGCTCCCCCCGG